TTAAACCTTTCCCAATAGTCATACAAAGACTCCCCGGGATACTGTTTAATGCTGCAGATTTCCTTACTCAGACTCACAGCCCGGGATGCAGGGAAGAATTTTTCCAAAAACTTCTTTTTCAACTGTGCCCATGTGGTAATACTACCTGCTGGAAGGTAGTACAGCCAATCTTTAGCTGCATCCTTGAGAGAGAACGGAAAGGCTCCCAGTCTAATTTGCTCTTCCGTGACCCCAGGAGGTTTCATACTAGAGCAAACCACCTCGAACTCCTTTACATGCTTGTGAGGTTCTTCGCCAGAGAGACCATGAAAAGAAGGTAGGAGGTGAATCAACCCTGACTTCAGTTCGAAATCAGTATTCTCAGCCAGAGTGGGGAATGTGATGCATAAGGGCTGGTGAGTCAGCTCCAGGGCGGCCAGCTCCCTCAATGTTTGGGTGTTGGCCATGCTTACTTCGTCTTCCGCTGACTCGTTTGCAGCAAATAAGTGCCCTTCTTTTTGCCTCTTGGTCTCTTGCCTTTGCCTACGCGCTGCCTTCTCAACCTCAGGATCGTATACCAATTCACCTGTGCGAGAAGAACGGGGCATAAACTAGCAAAAATACCAAGGAGAATAGAATAAAACAAAAATAAAATAAAAACTGAATCTGAAAAGAAATAAATAATCCAAATGCCAGCTCCCCGGCAACGGCGCCAAAAATTGACAGGTGCCGAACCTGTGCAATAATAAATACCTACTCGAGAAAAATACAGATTTTTGTATATAGCGATGAGTAGGGTCGAATCCATAGGGACTGAAGATAATTCATTTCTTCTAGAGTTCAGAGTATGGGGGGTTTTTGATGGGAGGAAAATAAAAATAAAAATAAAACAAACAAAATTCAAAACTAACTCGCAAAGCACAATTCACTAAAAATAGCAATTAATAAAAGCTCTACCCAAAGGATCAACTGCTCAGGCACGGTCCAATTAAATGATCATCGATGCAAAGATATTTCATCCATTTTTCATTAGGTTGGTTATAGCCATCAATAAGCTCTGACAACCAGCTCTACCTTACTTTTTCGACAGTCAAGGTACGACCATTGACTGCTTCTCTAACCAGATAACAACCCTAGGTACGACCGTAGGAATTTAATTACCCAATTGCATTAAAGCTAGAAGAACCCAACCCTAACCAATAAACACGCTAAGAGAGTTTATTTAAATTAGATCTTGCGTTTCCCCATCATAAAACCAATTATGGTGGTTGCCACGGGGTGTTAACTAAATGAACAATTACGGATTCTATTTAATTAACGTGGCAGTAGACTATTAAATTAAATCAAATACCCGGCCGTTGATATTCAATTAATAAAATATCCATGAACAATTAACTCAGGAAACGCACGAATAGCAATAAATTGGAAGAAATAATGAAGATTCGATTAGATCTCACAGATATTATGGACCGCGCCCTTGCGTCAACCTTTGGGTAGAGGACTAAATTAGCCGCTCCTCATCGTGTCAATCCCGCGTGATTTAATTGAATACATTCAATTGATTGCCGAAGAATTGGAAAAGCACAAGAGGAATCTCACGGAATTTAGAAGAGTCAAAAGCGAAAAGTCAAAAGGGTCTCCGTTGTACAGAGCCCTGATGCAATCCGCAAAAATATCCAATGTCTGGCCGCTAGCCGCAGGAGGAACAAAAGCAAAGAAAGAGCAAAAGAAAAGCGTCTGACCCTAACTTCTTTTAAGGAAAAGTAAAAGTAAAGCTAAAAAGTAGTTGATGTCTTCAATCTGGCTCTTTTTATCTTTTAATAGCCGCCGCAGGAGGTCAAGCAACCAAAAAGAACGTCTGGCCCAATTCACTGAAACAAAGGGACTTTTGGAGTTTTAATCCCGTGCTCCTCGCGGTTCACGTGGACCGCAATCCGGCTTTCGGTTTCGTCCACCTTCCAAGGCGTGGCCACGCTCTGAAATGAAAGGTCTTCTGGAAATTTGCCTCGCGAGATCATTTTTCATGCCTACCACCTACAATTCACACAAATATCGAATATGAGTGAAATTCCAATTCTTAGCACCGTGAATAGCCAAAATTAGGACAAAATAACAGTGCAAAATACGCCAAATAACGGTTCTATCAGCCGACTATTTGTAGATAGTTTTGCAGCTGAGATATGATCTTTTATCATACAAAAATATTAATTATGAAAAAAAAAGGGGGGGACCCATCTATTTATGAAACACCATTTGAAGCACAAGTAAATAAGAATCAAGATTTATATTACTCCCTCCGTCCCAAAATATTTGTCATATTGGAAAAATCCAAACAACTTTTAATCTCTTTTTCCAATATAGTTCTTTTTTCTAATCATACGCATGTTACTAGAAGTGTCAAAATGAGTAACTTGGATGGTTTGAGTTGGTTAAAATGGGTAATGGATATAAGTGAGTCAACCCATTTATACACATTTAATTAAATGGATATAAATCGGTAACTCAAAAAATGAATTGGGTAATCCAATTACCCATTTATAACCCATTTATTTTAAATTTTTGTAAACTCATTTAAATTCATTTTTGCAAACTAAGTTATCAATTTTTACCATCTTTTGCACCCATCATTAGTTTTAAATATTTACTTATAATGCTTAATAAGCTTAATTACCAATTTTTTTCAATCTGTACTCTGTGTCACAGAATTACATACTATTTAATAATTGAACAATAAGAATATAAAAATTTGAACTAAGTACTATAAAAGTTAACATAAAAACTTAATTCAAAAATTTCGAACCCTTAGTATTTTTTTCATGTGTAAATTTAATATTTCATTTTGAAAAGGTAGAAAAAGATGCTAAAAATTGTCATAAATTGCTAATGCTAAAAAATGAGTAAGTTAAAAAAATAAAAGAAAATAAAATGATAAGATAAAACCAATAAATAATAATAAAAATAAAAAAAAAGTATTTAACATCATGACAAAATGAAGAATCTAGAAAAAAAAATGGATGGGGGAAGAGAGAAGATTTGAGGAAAGACAATTCTAAATGGGTTAATTGGATTTGATGACTTACCCAATAATATCCACTTAATAAATGTGTATTATTGGATAACCCATTTTATCCTCTTGAGCAAAACCTTAAAATACCCATCTATATCTATATCTATATGTATTGTAGAAGAGGTTTTAGCAGAAAGCCTCTCAATAACTTCCAAACTTCTCATTCTTTTTTTCTAAATTTTTGTATTTATTTTAATACATAAAAAGTAGTGAGTTATAACCAACCCTATCACCAGTCCAATTTAAAATTTAAAACTTTCCTACTATTTCTTAGCTCATCCTACAACCACTCCTACAAATCCTCTACTCACCATCCCACGTTTCCCCCCACATTTCCTCCCATGTTTCCCACTCCAATCTATATCTATATCTATATGTATTCAAGAAGGAGTTTTTAGCAAAAACCCTCTCAATGGCTTCTAAACTTCTTATTCTTTTTTCTAGATTTTTGTATTTATTTTAATACATAAAAAGTAGTGGGTCATAACCCACCTTATCACCAATCAAATTTAAATTTAAAATATTCCCACTATCTCTTAACTCATCCTACAACCATTCCTACAAATCTTCTAATCATCATCCCACGTTTCCCCTTACATTTCCTCCCACGTTTCCCACTCCAATTAAGAGTTCTCCAATTTAAGAATTCCACCCCAATTAAAACTCCTCCAAAGAATTCCACCCCCAATTCCCCCACCTTCTCTCTCAGTTTCTTATTTGTTTTTTGTTCTCTATTGATTTTGTAAATGTATTGATTTTGTTTCTGTTGTGAGCAGTTATGGAAGAAATTATGTGCAGAGACTTCAGCAGAAATCAACCTTCTTGCGGAGAACTGGAAGTATATTCTTATCGGCTTAATTTTCCAGGTTAGTCCCTTCTACCCCTCTGCCTTTTAAGTATGTTTTGCTTTTGATTTGTTTTTGTCATGAATGATATTGCATTGATTTTCTGATCATCCATTATTTCTGAATTTTTTTTACAAAATCCTATGAACGGTCGTTTGCTTATTGTTACACCGTAAAGCAAAGATACTCAACAGTGGGATAAAGTATAAACACAAAATCACAAGCACATGCTCCAAAAGACCCATTAACACTACAACAAAAATGGCTTTTCTTGACACGTGTATAAGGACACTTGTTGATTTGTGTCATTATAGCACTTCTATCATGACATTTGTTATCAAATCAATAATATATACTTTAATTTTTTTTAATTTTATCTGATATAAAAATAATAATGTGTCTTTAGATTCCCTATCATGACACTTGAGAAAATGTGAGATACACCAAAAAAATTAAAACATAAAACGATGTCGTTTGATTTTGGCGGAAGATTCCTTTGCCAAAACACTTAGTGAAATCTCAAATTTTCATTTTGCCGGCCAGCAAAATTTTGGCTCTTCTCATCTCTCTTGGCAAACTATCTCTCAAAGCTCTCTGCCAAAATTTTCCTTTCCCCACAAAGTTTTTTCTGCTGAATCTCTCCGCAATCAAACTACCTTTGCTTCCCTATTGAAGGTATGTAATTGCATGGTTACTTTTTGCCCTAAATTGTACAATTTTCTGATTTCCTGCTCCTGCTCTGTAAACCAACTGATGTGAAAATAATTAACTCCTGTAAGCTGCAATAAGATTCTGTGGTATGCTAGTTCAAGTTCGATACTGATTTTTCTTCTAAAAGTTGCTTCATTCTCAATCTTGTTTTCATGATTTTCTGTTTCGGCTGACAGGTAAGAACTATATATTAGTTGGCATGGTTCACAAGCCCAATTAATTATAATAGATGCAGAGCTAATCAAAGAATTACTAACCAACAGAGAAGGCGCTTACCAGAAAATGGATATTGAAGGCATTGCAAAGAAATTATCAAATTAATAGGTGAGCCGCTTATAACAAATGAGGGGAAAAAATGGGCAAAAGTACACAAACTGGCTAACCATTCATTCCTTGTAGAGAGCCTAAAGGTAAGCCTTCTTCTATGTTAATCACATCATGAGTCAAGAACAAGAAAGTTCGTTGTCCCATATATGAAAATGGGAAGTGAATTTGGCATATAATATTGCTCGAGTAATTCCCTATACATGATTTGCTTCTCATAAGAATAACCTTTTGCACAGAGCAAGGTACCAGAAATGATTGCTAGTGTCGAGGCGTTGCTGGAAAGCAAAGGTATCAGCTCTCGTCTTATGCCAAAAAAGCTTCTCTTGCCCCCTGCCCTGTACCCCGGCTTCTCCCACATAAGTGGCCACTACCCTTTATACTGGATTTGTTGTCCATAACCTGTTCGATAAAATGTCAACCTTCTTTCCTTTGGTACTGATATTAATTTACTCAATAATATATAAACTAATAGAATTATTGTAATTAAGATGCTTTATCCTCTTTCATATCTGTGAGCGCATTTGATGTGTTTCTGTTGCTTTGACATATGCTTGTTTATTGCTGATCTCTTTCTTCAGTCTGTAATTAAGAAGAAGTATGGCCAAGATGCAACAAATGTTGGTGATGAGGGTGACATTGCTCTAATATCTAGGTTAGTTCATGGCATTTTGCTAATATGCTTCCTGATCATTGTTCAATTCGGTTGTCATATATTTTACAACTTTGTGACTTTGACATTTCAGGAGAACAAGGAAGGTCTTGAATTGCTTAAAACAGCTATTGCTAAAGCTGGTTACACTGGTAAAGTAAGTATTGGAATGGATGTTTATACTGGTTACACTGTTCTTGAATGCTATGGGTATATGTTTTGCTGGTGAAAATGGAGCAGATGTCAAAGGCGGATGTTTGTATGGAAGCAGGCTGCATCCAAGCTTAGGGGTGTACAAGTTTTTACTTACACAGAGCTTGAGATTGCAACAAACAAATTTAGTGCAGCAAATGTGATAGGAAATGGAGGGTATGGGGTAGTGTATAGAGGGATTTTGAGTGATGGCACTGTGGCTGCAATTAAGATGTTGCACAGAGAAGGGAAACAATGAGGAACGTGCCTTTCGGTTAGAGGTTAGTGGACTTCATTTATTGCTAGTTTTCATATTATCCAATTTTTTAAGCTACATAAGCTTGTCAATTAAACTCATCTGTACACTCAATTGAAGATTTTTTTTTGTTTTTTGGTATTTTCCCTCTTTGGCTAAATACATTGGGGAATAAAGGGAAGTGGTGAGTGAGAATGGAAGTGAGATATTTGCCTAAAAAATTAATGGTACTTCTGGCATTGGTCCACCATTGCTTTCTTGAACATCCTAATTGACCTTATTTGATGGGTGCTTGTCTGTGGTATGGTTTATTTCAACAAGTCTGTATTGAAATTAGTTTGAAGAGTTTGAAATTGCTGCAGGTTGTGATTGGGATGGATGTGGCTGCTTCTGAGTTTTATGGTAAAGACAAGACTGATGATCTAAACTTCAAAGAAGAGGTATTGCTTTTTCACATTTTCTCCCCAGATTGTTATGTCAAACGTTCGAATTCATTGCTAAGCCAAAGGATAAAATTACATCTAGATTCATAAATTCTAGTCTTCTAAAGGGGGGTAATTTCAATCATGACATCTATCTTTTTGGTCATTCTTCTTCTTTATTTAGTATGTTTGCTGCTTTAGTAGTATGTTTGGTGATAGCAAGTAGAAATTTCAGTGCAATGATGGCAACTGGATCAGTGTGTTATTCCAAAACCTTTTGATATACAAGAAAATATAACCTGCGTTATCACCTTTGCTTTTGCCAGTTAAGTTTTGCAAACCTGCTTGGTACCAAAATTTGGCTATTCAGCAATCAACTTTATTTCGAATGAAATGAATCCTGTTTGGTATCGTTACTTTACATTAGAACATAATTGCTAAGTGCTGATATCTTTAATTTATTTTTTTATTTCTGGTCTTTCTTTGCAGAATAATGATGGCTCACAAAAGATATCAGGTTATGACTGAAGGCTCTCATTTCATTGGAAAGTTTGGAAGCTACTGCAAGTTCTTTCTACTTGCTAGGGATGAGAATATTTTAGTTTGTGCACAAGAGAATCTTTTAAGTTTGTGCACATGAGAATCTTTCAAGTTTGTATTTGTTAAGGATTTGTTATGTTAGTACTTGTTACTGACTTTTAGTTCAACAAATTATATTTGAGTATTGACTTTTGCTTTTAGATTACTATATGCATTCTGTTCTTTGGGATAATTTTACAAGTCCTTTGGGTTTCTGATTGACGGAATGTATAGCAGGGAGCACTACCTGCAGGTTGCTTCTATATCAAAAAAAAAAGATAAAAAAACTCCTGGCAGTTAAAAGTGTCAGCATAGAATTCGATATTCTAATGTTGTTCTATACCTATCCTGACACTTTCAATTATCAAGAAAAGGGATTTTTGTTGGCAGATGGGATGTTATAACAGCATAGTTTTCCTGACATGTTGAATAGTATGAGTCTATCCCCACATTGGAAGGGACAACACTCGCCCTAGGTGTGAGGATAGATAAAGTGTCATGTTAGATTATCTATACTGACACTTTTAAATGCTGTTAAAGGCCATTTTTGTTGTAGTGTAAAGGCATGATTTATGCATCGACCATGCTGTTGCTACTCAAACAGCAGCAATTCAGCGAAAATGGAAAGTGGAAACGATGTGTGTGAAGAACAAAATTGTAAAGTTTAGTTGCACTTATTGTTCATGATAAGACACAAACTCGAACCATCAGAGTAGGGCCTGTTAAACCTCTAATAATTAACCAACGTGATCTTCTGGAATCCCCATTTTTAGGCCTGCAATAGCCTTGCTCATTAAAGCTACTTGGCAATGTACTTGAAGGCCCTGTTTTTTCAATCATATTTAAACTTCACTTGGACAGATTAGAGATTACCTTGACCCAAAAGAAATAAAAGAAAAACGGAATAGGAACACTATGGCAGTAGCTTTTAAATTCTAATAACCACATCATCTATCCTATTCATAATCGGTAAATCGACAAGGGTCATTAGATGGGGAATTGAAGACGGTGACTAAAAAAAAATATGGTTTCTCTTGCTTTTTGAAAATTTCTGAATTCTAACTGAACTTAAACCAAAAGAATAAATTAAAAATTATAGAGGTTGCCAAATTAAAAGACTATATTGAATTGGCTATTAAAAGATGGTTTAAACATAGTAGGGATTAAGAACCAAAATCTTTGAAAAACAATTCTATATCCAAAAAAAAAAAAAAAACCTACAAGAACAAACTCATTTTCCCCCAAAAAAGAAAAGAAAAGAAGCCTATAAGAACATACGCCCTTTTCCAAATTAATAATTTATCTACATTATAAACATATTATAAACTAATGGATTCCTTTTTATTTAATATTAAAAATTGATTTTAAATATACAAGTGATAGCAGAGGGAATGAAGCAGTTAGTGACATGTGAAAAAATCTTAAAAGACAAAAGCAATTAGAGGGATAATTTCGCACAAAAAAATAACAATAAGCGGTCAAAGTACCTAAAATAAAAATTCGTGGGTTAAAGTGCAATTTGAGGTATAGATGGAAGGCATTTTAGTGCATTTATTGGTTTGTTTTTAATAAGTGGTGCTTGGTTTTGCGGGGTTTTATTGGGGGGGGGTGTGATTGCAAATATGTGTGGCTGGCGCTGGTGGGCTACTTGCTGGAAGTTGGGAAAAAGTGAGCTACTCTACAGTCTCCTCACCTTGGTGCTCATAATCGGACGCGTGGGATGGGGAGGTTCAGTAACGGGAAATTTTCAGTAGTTTCATTGGACTAAAAAATTTCAAGTGCAATCGAAGTACAAGTCATTATTACAAAAATGCAAAGATCGTGCATTTTCATTTGTAGTACGCACTCCACAAAATTTAACAAAGTTAATTAAATCATCAATTTTGGCATTCGTACTAAAAGTGGATTGGTGTGAAGAGTGTTCGCACCTTCAAGTAAGATTATCAAATCGAATGCTTAGTATTTGTAAGTATTCCGTTCTAACAACATTCAATTACATTCATTTGTAGAAATATATCATTCCCTTTTTTAATATAAATTTTTATTTTTTTTTCAGGATCCATCTTCCGAAAAAAGACAATGCTTGAATGATATACACATTCTATTATATTTCAAACTATTGTTAAACATATATTACATTTTAATTTTGTTGGTACAATTTTTTCACCTTTATTTGTTCACCATTTTATTTTTATTTTTTTCAATAATATCAGCACCGTGCGTAGCACGGGTATTCACACTAGTTTATATGTATTGCAGAAGGGGTTTTTAGCAGAGAGCTAAGTGACTTATCATGTCTCACCAAATTTGTTTCAAAATATACATGTAATCCCAGCAGGTGCCAAGTACCGGATTGCACCACATCAGTTCCAGTTGTCATTTGAGAATGATACAAAAATAGTGAAGATTTTAGATGACTGTGCAACCATCCCCCGTTTCAAGTTCAGTTTGGTCAAATTGATACATATAGAACAGCCCATGGATAACGATCTGCATTTGATAGGTACGTCCTCACAATTAATATCATTTTTATTATATTTCTGCAAATAAATTGCTATTAATTAAAACTTTTTATTTATTACAGATGTAATTGGTTTAGTTATATCTATTGGTTCATACTATCAGATATCTACTAAAAACAAAATTGGTCGAGAGATACTATTGGTTTGACAAAAGGTTAGTTAATAGATCTCGACATCTTTAAAACTTTTTATTTTTAGAAAATTTAGATTTGCACTTATGAAAATTTTCTTAACACAGTTTGACAATAGCTCGATTCATATTGTGGGATAAATTTGCTAATGATGATGGTGAACAGTTATATCAGTCTGCCACAAAAAATAATATTTTAATAGCATGTGATATTTGCGTACGAAATTTCAGAGGTAAATCAATTGCTTTTAGTTATATTCTATATAATTTGAATAGCTTTTGAGCGAACATAATCATACTATGCAGGACCATCACTGTATATAATTGGAGCTAGCAAATTGTATATTAATCACAATTTAGATTTTGCTTGATACCTGCGCAGTTGGTGAGTTCCTCAGTAACACTATACCAAACTATTAATATTGTTTCGTACTCTTATTGACATGTATTTCAAAAAATTGTAGGTTTGAAAATAATACATGTGCCCGCAAGTTAGTTCCGTGGCTGAGATCAAGGAATTTCACAACACCACAAGTACTGTTGATTGCAAATTCAAAGAGAATATGGATATCTGAATATACAATCTTGCCTACGGTAAGTTTACTCAATTTTAATTAATTATTGAACGCAATTTTTAAATTTATAATCATAACCTATATCTTCTATCATTCTTATTAGGTTAAATATTTTCGAATACTTGCTTATATTCAGAGCATTAACATAGAAAATATGTTCTACGAGCTATGCAAAAATTGTGGACAACTATGTGAAGGTCATTTTTCAAAGACAATGTGTATGCATTGTAATAACGTGGTTGACCCTGTTATTAGGTAATAAATTTCATGTATATTTAATTTCAATATATTTTTTGTATTGTATATAATATTCTATTTGTCAAACAGGAACAATGTTAACATACAAATCAGAGATTCCAGTGGTAACATGCATCTTAATCTACAAGACAGACATACACAATTCGTATTTGATTGTGATGCTTCTTATCTCAGAGAATTATAAAGGAAGGTAGAATTTTTTAATCTATATTTATTTTTTTATAGTACTATTCATAAACTATGTAAAAAAATACACTAATTTCGTATGTTCTTAATTTCGTACATCTTCCAAAAAAAGACAGTTTTTGAATGATATACACATTCTATTATATTTCAAGCTATTGTTAGACAGATATTACATTTTAATTTTGTTGCTACAATATTTTCACCTTTATTTGCTCACCTTTTTATTTTTATTTTTATTTTTTCCAATAATGTCAGCATCGTGCATAGCACGAGTATTCCCACTAGTATCCATCTATTCATGGATGGATTTGAGTAAATTTAGCTAAATGAGTTTGTTTTTTTTTATAGCAAATTAGAAAAATTTCATTAAGGTGAGGATAGGTCCGCCGAAATTGCAGAGAGAAGAAAAGATGGTGGAGAATAACTCCAACTACAGATATCTGAAATAGAGCGAGCATTTCTAGCTAATAAATGTGCTGGCACATTGGCCTTCCTAGGGACCCAATTAGCCTCCCAAGCGGCGAAGTTCTGTAACCTAACAAAGATATCATCTAACAACACCCCATAGGCGGAGTCATCAAACTCCATAAGCTTAAGCATGTTGATGATCTTCAAAGAGTCTCCCTCCAAAATAATGTTGGGCACTTTCCATTGAAGCAGCAAGGAAATTGCAGTTCTCGCAGCATAGGCTTCGATGACCTCAGGGGAAAAGATACCAGAGATTTTGTGAGAAGTTCCTGCAACAAAATTGCCCCGCTCGTCCCTCACAACAACTCCAACACCAGAGTAGCCATATTCGGAGAAAACTGCGCCATCGAAGTTCGCCTTTAGGAAGCCCACAGGGGGCTTTGTCCAATGAAGTGGAGCAATGGAAGTGCTAATTGGAGTATTTGGAGATGTGTTGGCTTCCCGGTACTTCCGTAAGAAATTGATAGAGAGAGAGACTAGACTGAGCGGATCCCGATATGAACCATCGAATAAAGCACCATTTCGGTTAAGCCATAGATTCCAAAGAATTATGGCTACCAATTCCATGTCCTGCTTCTTCAAGAGATTCAGAAGGCCAGGCAACCAAGAAGAGACCTGCTTGGCGGAGTCTAACCTTATCTTTAGTGTAAGAAAACTGAGGGCCCAAGCCTGAACTGCTACCGGACAGCACAAGAAGAGGTGATTTACATCTTCGACAGGGGCCTTACATAAAAGGCACATAGGGTCAAGGTAGACTCCACGGCTATTCAGTGCGGAAGATGTAGGTAGAATACCCTTGCAGATACGCCACAAGAATATCTTAACTTTGTTTGGTATGTTGAGCCTCCACAGGCGAGGCCAAAGATCCTGCACCGAGCCATTACTCCCTGAAGCTACATCTTGCCAGCATGTAGATTGTGTTTTGATAAGGTGGTAGGCACTTTTTACTGTCAATGAGCCATTTTTAGAATAGTGCCAGATGAGCTTATCTTGATTGCGACTATCACCCAATGGAATACCCATAATCAGCTCAATCTTATCCTGCCAAAAAAGCTCATGAAGCAACTCAACTTTCCATTTCCTGCTGCTTCCGTCAATTAAACAATCCACAGTGGAATCATCCAGCAGCACATCAGAACGGGATATAATTTTGAAAGTAGAAGGGCGTGGAATCCACCTATCTTTCCAGATTCTAATATGGTTCCCATTTCCAACTCGCCATCTGCTACCAGAGAGTAAATATCTTCGAACAGCGCACAGTCCCTCCAAGTAAAAGAAGGCCTGGAAGCAGACTCGTCATGAAAAAAGTCCTTTGTTGGGAAATATTTAGCCTTAAAAACCTGATGAAGCAGAGTAGATGGTTGAGTTGCAATACGCCATGCCTGTTTAGCCAATAAAGCTAAATTGAAAGCCTTAAGTTGTCTGAAGCCCATGCCCCCATCATTTTTGGACGAGCACATTCTATCCCAACTCACCCAGTGGATTGGTCTCTGCTTTGTGCCATCACCCCACCAAAAGTTACTGATCGTAGATTGAATATCGGAAATCAAGGAGTCCGGGTACTTGAAACAGGACATTGAGTATGTTGGAATGGTCTGGACAACAGCCTTGATCATGATTTCCTTACCTGCCGTTGAGAGGCGCTGTTCATTCCATCCATGTATCTTCTTCCAGATTCTCTCCTTTACAGATGAAAAAACTTCAGACTTGGAGCCACCAACAACAGTAGGAAGGCCAAGATATTTGTCGTGAGTGGGAACTTCCTTGATGTTAAGAAGCTGTGTGATACTTCGACGAACTGCGGGGTCTGTGTTTTTGCTGAAGACCACTGCTGATTTATCAAAGTTAACCTCCTGACCTGAAGCTGCTTTGTAAAGGTCAAGGATTGTCTTTATGTGCTGAGCTTCCTGCAGCGATGCCTTGCCGAATAATAAGGTGTCGTCGGCAAACAATAGGTGAGATAGTTTGGGTCCGCGTGAGCCGATCCGAAAACTTGAGATGCTTCCGCAACGTTTAGCTTCCTGCAACAAACAAGAAAAGCCTTCGGCACAGATCAAGAACAAGTAGGGTGATAATGGATCCCCCTGTCTGATACCACGGTGGGGTTGTAGGTTCCCAAGTTGGGACCCATTATGTAGGAAAGTGTAAGACACATTAGAAATGCAGCGAAAAACAATGTCCACAAAAGTGGAATGGAAACCTAAAGCTATCATCATATGTCGAAGAAAAGGCCACTCGACCTTATCAAATGCTTTGCTCATGTCCAACTTAATGGACATCGAACCCTCCTGCCCATAGGATTTCAGCTTAAGGGAATGATTGATTTCATAAGCAATTAGGATATTATCAGTGATACAGCGCCCAGGGATGAATGCAGATTGACAAGGAGAGATGACTTTGGGAAGACAGTTCCTAAGCCTATTAGCTAAGATCTTAGAGGCTAGCTTATAAACTACGTTGCAAAGACTAATGGGACGAAATTGGGTGATACTGGATGGACTGTGACACTTAGGGATAAGGACAACGTAGGTGTGATTAAGACTCGTAGGTAAGGTGCCCTCGTTTAGGACAGTAAGAGCCCAACGAGTGACATCTCGACCAACAATATGCCAATATCTTTGGTAGAAGACTGGTGACATGCCATCCGGTCCAGGAGATTTAAAAGGATGCATTTGACTCAAAGCCTTTGTTACCTCAATGGCAGTATAGGTACGCAGGAGACAATCATTCATTTCCTTGGAAACGCATCCCCGCACTCGCTGGATGACTGCATCAATTGCCAGAGAAGTAGGCTGCGAAGTAGAAAAGATTGTGCCAAAATGTTCCATGATAATAGATTCTAGATCCTCCTGTGACTGACACCAAGAACCATTGTTATCGAAAAGGCCAACAATCTGATTATGCTTTCGTCTCTGGGAAGCCAGGCCATGGAAGTAAGCTGTGTTTCGATCACGCTCTCTATACCACTGCACTTTCCTTCGTTGTTTCCACATGATGTCTTGCTTGTCCAGAAGCTCCTCTAGCTGGGTAGTTAAAGAACCAATCTCAGCTTTGATAGAGTCCGTCAAAACGCCTTGTTGGAGGCGAGAAATCCTTTGCCGAAGTTCATCCGCAACCTTAGTATGGTTGCCGAAGAACTGTTTGCTCCATTGGAGAAGGCCTAACCTACAACTATTTGTCTTCATAACCAAGTTGACACAAGCATCTTCTGTCGAGCTATACTTCCAGGAATTTTGGATAATGCGTTCGCAGTCTTCGGATCTGATCCACATTGCTTCAAACATGAAGCGTTTGTCCCTCCTAGATTTGCTGCGAGCTTTAAAGAGGTCATGCAAGCACGATAATCTTAAGACAATAGGGACATGATCGGAAAAAAGAGCATGTGAGTGATAGATCCTGGCATCAGGAAACAAGGTGAGAAAGTCATGGGAGACGCATGCGCGGTCCAGACGAGCTCTAGTTGTGTCAGGAGCCGACCTATTCCGACACCAAGTGAAGCGATTACCTTCATGGCCTAAGTCAAACAAATTACAGTCCGAAAGTGCCTTCCGAAAGTTCATAATTTGCCATTTCGGTCTCCATGTAGCGCCCTGAAATTCCTCTTGAGTGAGTACCTCGTTGAAGTCACCCATGCAGACCCATGGTAGGCAGCATAATGTACTGAGTTTGCGCATAATATCCCAAGTATGTTTTCTTTTAGTCGCCTCTGGATGACCATAGAAACCAGTCAAACGCCAGGAGGAATCAGTCATATGCACCTTGACATCAATAAAATAATCCGAAAAACACATAAGATCAACAACCAGATCCTTTCTCCAAAGGAGAGCTAAGCCACCCGAGTTCCCTCGTGAGTCAACCCCTAAACCAAACCATCCGATATCCTGTTTTAGCTTGTTGATGACTTTATTCGAACACTTCGTCTCTACTAAAAAAATAATTGAAACTTTATCTCTCCGGATGACGTTCCGGAGCTCCTGAACTGTTCGAGGGTTGTTTAACCCCCGACAGTTCCAGCTCAAGCAATTCATGGTTCTCGACGGGACTGCGAGGCAATCTCCGCCGCTATAGAGGTTGTTTGAGGAGGTGTGGACAGCGTAGCATGTTTCGGTTTCTTTGGGGCAGAACCACTAGTATCTCCCTCCCCTGAAGAAGAAGTATCCGTGGCCTCTCTTTTTGTCTTGTGACCCGATATAACATTAGTAGGATGTATGGCCAATCTTGAAGGTGTTGATTTCCTGCGGGAGAGATTGCATCCTTTTGTTTTTTTGGAGGAAGCGATAGTTCGCATGTCGTGGATGTCGGAAAATTTCCTTTGCTGCGTTAAAGTGGCATCAACTAGAAACACATCCTCCATGGTTGGCTCTGCAGATGTTGTGATAGACAATTGCATGGATGGTATGCTGGGGTTAGTGGTTGTATGACTGGGGTTGGGCTTGCCATCGCAGGGGTGAAAAAGGGAGCCAAGGTTGGGGTGTAAATTTTCCAATGAAGCATGGGTGGGTATTTGAATAGCATGGTGAAAGGGCTGTGGAGGTATGGGGGGGCATGACAGAAGGTTGTGAAGTAGGAGAACGTGCTTGCTGAGATGTAGCGGTGTTGATTAGAGATAATTTGGGGCTGGTGATGGTATTGGGCGGACTTGGTTTGCTAGGGACTGGGATATTGGGGTGTTCATTGGGCTGGGAGCCAAGAGTATTTGCATTGGAAATGGCCAAGATTGAGGGCCCATCATGAACAATTGAGTGGGGGGGGAAGTGTGGTTAAGGGTAAGGAAGTGGAAGTTGCCTGTGCTGTTGGGGAACTATCAGTGACCAATGCCGTTGAAAGGATTGGTTGATCGTTATCCAGAGAGAGAGGTCTGCGCTGGGTTGCTACCAAGGTGCTGGGAATTTGGACGTCTGGTCTTTGGGTAGGATCAGGACTGCCAACCAAACTTGGAGAATCTGAGGCCTGGAAATTCGGATGTTCAAAACTAACAACCTCCTTAGGTGACGAGACCTTATCGGCCACAGAGAGGGACTAGCCCCCTTTCGTCGGTGGTGGTGCCGTCCGAGACGGAAGTTGCGGGCCGGTGAATTTTTTGTCGTTGGTGGCCCTAAGCCACCCACCATATTGAGGTTCGCCGTTGTTTACCTTAGCAACATCTAGTTTGTCCTCGCAATCCCTTTCTCCATGTCCAATACGACCACAAAAATTGCAATGCGTAGGAAGGCGCTCATAGCGAAAGTGAACCTCACATACCGCACCCTCAATTAGAAGCTTCATCAGCCGTTTGAGAGGGTTATTGAGGTTTAGCTTAACCCGAATGCGCAAAAACTTACCCACAGAGAGACCACCCTTTGCATCAAATCCCTCGTACGTGCCAAGTTTGCTCCCTATAAAGTCCGCCGTTCTTCCGTTCATCCATCCCAAAGGGAGGTTGTATACTTGAACCCAGAAAGAGCAGTGATCCAATTTCACCTTGGACGGCTGAATGTTACCAACATAATCACTGACAACTAGCAAACTTCCATCAAAAGCCCAAGGACATCCTGCCATAACCTTCCTTTTGTCTACAATGTCGTTAAATTTGAAGAGGAAAAGGTTATCCCCAACTGCCGAGTACTCGAGGCCTTTAGCCGGGTTCCAAGATTTCTTCATGGTAGCCATCATAGCCTCTGCGTTGAAGGACTTCCGACTGAACAGCTTTCTGAGAATGCACAGATCGCCGTCAAAATTGGAGCCACCGTCATTGTCATCGGGCAATAACAGCACCTCCTGCTCATCATCCCTTAGCACAAGATTTTGGCATAGCCTTTCTAACTCCTCAGCCATGGCCTCGTGAGAATTGATTCAGCCCGCAGAGGCGGACAGGGTAGCCAAGGTTGAGTGATTGAAACTGCGTGCCTGTAAAATACAAAGAGAGCCAAGGTTAAAAGTGACGAGGGAGGGGAAGCCCAGAAAGTTGCAGAGGAAAAGGAATTGAAATAATGCCGATGAGGTAGGATTGGTGAGCAAACGAATAGATAGAGATAGCGGGGAAAAATCAAAGCGGCAGGAGGAGGAAGAGGACAAAACTTCCACTAGGCATCTAGGGAAGGAGGGACCTTGCACGGGCAAGGAGAGACCCACATAGCACTAGTGCTCATGGGAAAAAAAGCGTGGTCGTATAGCTAAGTGAGTTTGTTAGTCACTTGTATATGCTACCATTCAAATTTAAATTTTGAATTTATGGGGGTAAAATAGGAAAGAGAAGTATAAACATCATAATCAAATCACTATTTTTAAAAAATTGGATTCCTTAAACATGACTAAGTAATGCGAATCGAGAGAGCATAATTTTACTCTCAACCGCTGACCTTTAAGATCCAACAAGAAATCGGAAGAGAGGACAAAGCTGTCTCAAATCCAGTAGCAACCGTTCGAGGATTTTGCAACCGTCAATCTTCACACAGGCACTCTATGCCTGTCCACATTTGTGAGTCGTCATCCATTAATGCTTTGGTTGTTTTGTAAATATGACGCCCTCCCAGTTCCCACTAAATTTGACCCGCCTAGCAAAACACCGGGCAAATGGTGCGCAGGGCCTCCTTCCGAATTCCTTGGTCCTAGCCTAGTCGTGCTCCAACGCTTAGCCAATTACACACAATGGTTTCAAACTATTTAAAACTCATGGAATAACCCACAAAAACCCTTACCCATTCCATTTCTGTTAGGTTCATGAGTAAAGAATTATATCCCACATTGATTTGGGATATGGAAAAAGAACATTTAATATGTAAGTAAAAATCCGACACCTAATAGTTTAAACTTTTAGGTCAGAGTTAGATTTCTGACTTGCAAATTGGGTTCTTTAATGGGTTTTCTTGAGGTGTTTCTCCCTAACAAGTGATATTAGAATCCAGTTGGTTAGTGTTGACAGTGGATTTTACTCAAAATTTGGTTAGTGTTGGACCAGTTGTGCCATGGATTTGGGAGAGGATCTGTTCTTAGATCAAGGAATCAAGGGTTGACAGGAGTCTAGAATCCAGTTTGAATGTTGAAGAACAGTGAGTCCATGATTAGAAGAAAAGGTGACCTTAGATATTAAAGTGAGTTTGCATTGAATATTAAAATGGGTTCGGAGAAGAACCGTTAAACTTGGCTTTAGTATGAGGAATTATTTATAAAGGAGGAGAATTGTTAGATTTGTAAGTAAAGGATTATATCTCATATTGGTTCGAGAGATTAAGAAAAAGTACTTAATATATAAATAAGGGTCTGAAACCTAATAATTTAAACTTTTGGATTAGAATTGGATTCTTAACTTCATATTTGACTCTTTAGTGTGATCTCTTAAGGTGTTCTCCCTACAATTTCTCTAGGTACTAAGTCTTTAATTGGTCATGAGTGTAAAACTAACACACTCGAGCGCTTCCTAACCTTTAACAGAATGTGGAAAATAATACAACTAACATCCTACTGCTTCAAAAAAAAAAAAGACTTCAAAATCGGCCTCCTTGACCATGACCAGCCGAACGGCGGGTTGTTCTGATCTGCACTCTCAAGGGTTGACAGCTACTAGGAGGGATTTTTAGGATATTCTCTCTATCTTTTGCTTCAAACACTGTGGTTAGCACTTAGCACTTCTTCATTCCACTTGTTTAGTCCCCAATCTGTATATCTCTTTTTTGTCACTTTCCCCCCTATGCTCCTAGAATCCATCTATCCCTCCAAATGTTTATGGTTTTTCCATGACCAACCCTCTTCCTCACTCCTTCTTCCAATAGATATCTTGAGCTTAGAATACTCCTCCAACACCTGGAATCAGAGTTTTTTTATTGCATTTTCTAGATTGATATACCTTTAAATATCTGATTCTTAGCACTTTGCTCATTAGCAGGTTTGGTCTTGTCATAATTCTCCAGAATTTACTCCCCTAATTCTCTGAAGCCGACACCCCTCCCCTCCACCCCCCCTTCCCACCATCCCGTTTTACTTCTGTTAGCTTTTTCCAGCTCAGCCAATGGAGTTTTTCGTCAGGATTTTGACCCCACCAAAAGTTCGGCATTTCTTTGCAAATACTCTTGCACAAGCCCTTTGCTAATCTGCAGAATGACATGACATAGGCTGGGAGTCTAGAATTACTGATTTCAGTAGTATTTCTTTCCCTGCTTGGTAACCTGTAGCATGTATATGATGTGATAAAATTTGCACTAGTAATGTGCCTCTGCAACGTTTTTTCCGTTGGTTTAATAGACTGATTTTGTACTTGTTCTGCATAATAGCTTTCTTATTTTCGTCTTCCTCTGTTACTTTCACTTGTGTGGTGAGAACAAAATCAATTCATGCATTCTTATTATGAATTTAACATAAAAGTTAGATAATATTCAGGATTAATTAACAATGTAAAAATAGCACATATATTGTCCATTCAAGCTGTAACTATTCGTGGACCAGTACATCATACAACTTCTAAAATAACCAAAGAAATTACTCAAAGTACTTGGTTTTTATTAGACTGGCAAAAAGCACGTATACAGTTAAGAAAATTATTTTAAAAACCAAATGAAAAATTTTCTAGTAATTAAGGAAGTATTCTTACTAGGCATAACTAATTGCCATAAGACAAAAGTTAGTTGAGTTGGATACAACTAATTCGATTGAATCTAAACCAATATTTGTGTTAAACTTTTTCATCATCCTTTTTTTCTCTTCTTGTAGAGAAAAAACACAAAACATCCCTAATGTTTTGCCAAAATAATTTAATATTTTTCATACTTTAATTGCTAATTTTATGTCTTTGAAAAAAATCAAATCAATCCTATTTAGATCTAATATCCATTTGCGGCCACCTTCTAAAGGAGCAAAGAAACACCCAGTTCTAGGTGCTAACCGAAAACCTTTTCAACCAAACTATTACAAAGAAATACAAATTTAAAAAAAAAGTAATGGATAGGCAAAGTGAAAAGCAAGAAAAATTGAGGGACTAAACCTAAAATTTATGAAATGAAATTTTGTTGTCATTTCTTAGGTCTTCTTCCACTGCACCCTTCTCCCACTATCCTTCCCGCTGATCTTCCTCTTTTGCCTTCTCCCCAATATTTCTCCCCATCAATTCCCCTTTTGGGAAACTGCCATTTTGCTTTTAAGTTATATAAAAATTCCAAATATTGCTTTTGCACCAGAATGTTTTTTTGTTTGCTTTTCATGATTTTCTATTTATGCTTTCTAGTTCTGTTTGTAATAAATTATTCAAAAGTCCTTCAAAGATATTTTTTAGACATTACATTTAACCTTTTCCCTCTCTCTCTAAATGCTAATGAGTATTTATTTACTGTAAAACAGAAGAGTTAAACAATTTTCACCAACCATACTCCATTCATGTAGGATTTTATCAAAATAATCAAATAACTAATGTTTCTAAATTACTGTATTCTTTTATAGGCAAACGGTAAGAATTCTAATTGGAGAGGAACCAATGTTAGTATTATTTAGTTTTATACCCATATGCACATGATCTTGTAACTTATTTGACTCTTTGGGGCATGTTGATCTTAAGTCTATATAATTATTTATGCAAAGCCAAAACTATCTCATTGTTATTCCTAGATATTGATTAAAGTGAATGCTTTAGTATCATTGAAAAATTACATATAATGATGTTCAACTTTTAATAACCTTCAGCCTATTACTCATGATGCATACATTTTAAGAAACTTACGCAGATCTAAGCTTAAGGCTACATTATAACATAAACACAATTCTTCAATTATTATTTTTGTCTCTAAGTTACAATTAAAAATTGTATCCACTTTGAATTTGAGAAAACTTCTATGCGAACTTTTGGAGGATAATAATTGCACTAATTACTTTGTGTGAGGCACTTCTAGGGATGGTAACGGCGCAGGATTGGGGCGGCCTAAACATATCCCCAGCCCCTACCCCACCCTTGTCACCCGCCGTGCCATGCCCATGGGTTAAAAGTTTATAATTAATAAAAATATATAATTAGTAAAAAAATATAATTGTAATTTAATATAAATATTTTATTATAACTAATCAATAATTTGTATTAATATAACTATATAATTATTAGTTATAACATATTCATAACTAATAATATCCTCTGTTTCCCGCCCTGTTTTTTAACGGGGGGAGAATTTTAACCCCCGCCCCATTAACCCCTTGTGGGTACCTGCCCCTAAGGGATTTTTTTATATGTGCACAAATTTAAATCCAAGTTACACTCGTTTTGATTATAAGTATACAGGTCAACTATTAGTTTATGGCATATATCGAGTCGATCCTACAGGGAGTAACCTTACAAGTACTAAGACCTTACTTACTCAATTATTTAAACTAATAATCAATTAAAGCAAGAGAAATGATAATTACTACTATCTAACTGGTCTTGATAACTTGCAAGGTAACAATGGAGAAAATTCACTAAATACTTGAGTTTAGGAATGTAGATTCCACTTATGGCATAAAAGATATAAATAAATAGATTTACTTCTTGTTACAAGTCTTTTTTAACTAGGGATTCATTTCCAATATTACCAACACTCATTCGCATGATGAAATAGCTAAACAAGACTAGTTTTCCCTATTTTTATTGTGAATAACTAGATCTACTCTTGTTTCCTTCATGAAAGTACGGTTAATCCACTTAAGTATATCTTTATTTTTATGAGTCCACTCCTTAAGCTCTATTTATGTTGTTCCATTATTATTACCAACTTTCATTGAATAATAACAACTAATAACTTATTATTGGTGATCAAACAGCAACAAGTGATAGACATGCATAAATAGATAATTTAATACAAGGTATAAAAAGAGTAATTCATATT